CGCGCCCAGCCAGGCCCCACGGGAAGGTGCAGCCACTGGGCGAGCAGGAGTGGCGGCTCCAGCCGGACACCAAAGTGGTGAGCAGGTAAGCACACAGCGGGCACCCACGGACCTTCACAAAGGGCCTCTGGGACCAATTTGGTTTCTAATTATCCCAGGGTTGAAATAGTATCAACCAAGCCCATTAACATGGGCCTTGTGCCTCATATTCCAGTCAACTGTTGCCATCTTGCCCCCACGTCTGCCTGCTGTGGGGCTGTGTGTGATGGCGTCTGCCAGGAGCGGGCACCGGCAAGAGAATGGAGTCTCCTCCTTCCCACTGGGCCCGGGAGCAGTGGCCCACGAGGCTGCAGGGGTCTGGTGTGGCACAGCCAAGGATGTGGCCTCTCCTCCCCCTGGGGACACCAGGCACGGGCTCTGCCTGTCCCCCTGCCCATGTCGCCTCTTGCCCCGTGTCCCTGGGCCTCCACACACAGGAGCAGCCCAAGGGAGATGGCTGCCTTCTTGCACAAGATATCCCCAGCCTAGCGTGAAGATACATTTGCGTTTGCCCCCATGTCAAGCAGCTTCACAGGCAGTGGGGCCTTGCTGTCCTGTGTACATTAGCAGAGGTCGTCGTTTGTCCGATTCAGTTGTTTTGGTGGCTTTGGAGATGAGCTCAAGGTCTTTGCACCAGCAAAGGTAGTGAGGCTTTCAGGTGCTCTGGTGTAGGGACCCCCAGAGGGTCCTCCCCACAAGGCCATGCGATGCTGTGAGCACGACTGATGGTTGCCTTTCTTACAATTGCATCCAAAATCCACCACAGGTACTTGTGCTGCCTGCCCAAAATCACAGCCAGGCCTCTAAAAGTGTGGCTCCTTAAGTTTTCTTTCTGTACTGGATGTGTTTTCTGGTGAAAAATGGGCAAGAGGCTGTCTCAGCTGTTCCTCTGCTGTGCTTACGCCTTCTGTTTATGGTGTAAAGCCCTCAGGTTTTACTTTTGATCCCTGAATTTGGAAAATTACTTGTATATTTGTGTTGGTTCTTGTGTGTTGGTTCAGGCTTGGTTTACGGATTTGAAAGGCGGAGGAGAACCAGAAGTAGCAGGGAAGAGAAATCGTGAGGGAGAGTCGCAAAACATTTGTCATTCCAGGGCAGGATGTGCAAGAACAGGGATTTTTTGCCCAGAAAGGCTGTCACTGTTGTAATTAAATCCCGGCCGTGTCCCTCACTAAGAGTAATGTGTCCTCAGCCTCTTTTAATCCACCTCTGCTGCTGACCAAGTGGATGAGTCCACATTACAAATTCAAAAGCACAAATGTGAGGGCTCCTTCTCCACCTGGCTCTGTGCTCTGGCTGTGCCGGAGCTGTGTCACGCAGCAGTTTTACTTCAAAGGGGTGGGAGTGCACTCTTCCTTCGTTTTCTATCTCTGCGGGCTGGTGCCTGGGAGTTTGGCTGTGGGATTTGGGGTTTGAAGAGTGGAAAACTCAAAGCCGGGCTCCGTGCTGCGCGTTCGCTGTCTCAGAGAGCACATCAAAAAGTGCTGTGTGCGTGATGAGGTTTTATTTCACAACGCAGCTTCTTCCAAATAAAAACGGGTGCTCCTTTGGAGA